AATCTGTCTATGCACTTTTTTCTTCTTTTTGCCCATACTCTTACTCAAGTGACTCTGTTTAGAAGACGAAAGTGTATGTGTGGGGAAAAAAGAATACACCCAGCCTGATTGCCAGTACTAGAGGAAAGAAAGGGGAAACTGAGTGTGAGGGTTTGTTGTTTTTGTTTTTTTTTTTTTAAATTATTTTAATTGTGACTTTAACAGAAATTTACAAGAAAGTTGGATTTTCATTGGTTCATTCATGGTTGCCCATTTTCCTCCCTCTCCCAGTTCACTTTGTTTTATTTTAAATAGTCACACAATTTCCTTTCTCCCCCCTTTTCTCCTGTCCTATTTCTAGGCCTCTTTGCAATGGACCAATGTCTTAACGTATAAGCCTAATTCGCTTCCCTCATCTATTCCAATACATAGTTCGTTATCTATCCACTCTTTTCCTATTCTCCTCCCAACCACTTGTGTCAGTCCAGTTACATAATAGTGGTGGTATGCAGTACTTGTCCTTTGGAAACTGACACATTTCACTGAGCATGATGTCCACCAAGGTCACCATGTTCTGTATTGTTTTGTTGTTAGGTGCCCTTGAGTTGAGTAGGACTCATGGTGACACTGTTAACAGCAGCTCTGAAACCTGTCTTATTTTATGCCATCCTCACACTTCCTGACACACTAGAGCCAGTTGGGGTAGTCACCCTGTCAGTCCACCTATTGAGGGTCTTCCTCTCCTTTGTCAACCCTCCATCCTTCCAAGCATCATGTCTCTCTCCAAGGAATAGCCCCTCCTAGTAACATGCCTGAAGTAATGTGACGCGAAGCCTCATCATTCTTGCCCCCAAAGAGTACTCTGGCTGTATCCTCTTCCAGACATGTTCTTTTGGCCGTCCATGGGGTATTCAGTGCTCCTCTTTAACACCACAGTTCAAAGGCATCAATTCTTTTTCTGTCATCTCTATCATTGTCTAGCTCTCAGATGCACAGCAAGTGATTGGAAAGACAGTGGCCTGAATCAGATGCACCTTAGTCCTCAAACTGACTTCATTACTCTTCAGTAATTTGTAGTGATTCCTAAATGCAGACTTTCCCAATGCAATACATCTATTTCTTGACTGCTGGTATTACCAAGGTCATTATCTTTCAGTGCTACATAGTATTCCATTGTGACTATATCATTTTTTTCAGTGCTGTTTAGTATTCCATTGTACAAATATACAATAGTCTATCCATTCATTTTTTGATAGGCATTTGGGTTGTTTCCATCTCTTTTGCTATTGAGAATAGCACAGTCGTAAACATGGGTGCGTATACATCAGTTTGGATGGTATTTCCAGTTCTTTTTAGGGTATGCTCCCAGCAGTGCAATTGCTGTGTCAAATGGTATTTCTGTGTCCAGCTTTTTTGAGAAAGTGCCTTCAATATAGTGATTGAACTAATTTACACTCCCACTAGCAATGAACAAAGATCCTGATCTCTCCACAACCTCACCAGCATTCAAACTGAGGTTTCTGGAGATAACCCATGTTTGATAAAATTGCTCCCTACAGTCTTTGATAAGTTCTTCTCTCCCAGTTATCTGATTTTCTTTGTTCATTCTTTTCCTCTTACCCTCCCCCTTTTATTGGTAGTTCACAGTCAGATTTTGCCCTCTTTTCTCTTTACTCATCTTTGTTTTCAAAAGAACTTGTTATCTGATTTAGAGCTTGAGGGGTTTTCTCTTTGTGTGTGTGTGTGTGTGTGTCTGGGGGGTGTTGTTTTGTTGGGGTTTTTATCCCCCCTTCATGTTGCAAGAGAGGAATCTGTTAGGTCTTCCATTCTGGATGGTAAGGCCAAAGACTCAAGGAAGGGATCAGAGAAAGAAAGCAAGCTAAAGAAGCTTTATTAAGGAATCTCCCAAGTGGGATTCCTTGGTCTGCAGAGAAAAAGACAGGCAGAGAGCCAAACAGGGAATGCCACACCCCACCGTGGATTAGGGCAGGTTTTATGGTTAGGGTCTTTAAGGAGGGAAGGGAGGGACTTCCCATTGTGGTTTAGTCAGGTAGGTGGTCTTCTAGGGAGGGGCACTCCCTGGTAGTTTATTCAGAGGAAGGAGGCTGTTCACTCTCTTTGTTGACATGTTGACATTCCTTGAATCCTTTGTTCTTCCTTTGACCTTTGTACCCTGACAGGATCCTTGATGAAATGGACTGACATAGTGACTATCAATGGGGTCAGGTGTGTTGGAGAGGGTCAGGTTGGCTCAGGATAAGATAAAGTTCAGAACTGTTGTTCATAGGGTCTCTGTTAAGTTGTGGTCAAATCAACAGCACCTAAACTAGAATACTATTATGGAAGCTGGCAAGAATTAGTAATTTCTTGAATATCTGTACCTGAAATAATTTTGTCTTTGTTTCTTAACAAAACTGAATTTCTTACTTAGCAAGGCCTCTTAACTAGACTAATAATAATAAATAGTACCTATGAAAGGAACAATTTTCAGTGAGTTCCTTAGTAAATTATAGAACCTAAAATACATAGCAGCTCTTCTGTAGAAAGTGGGTGTTGTTTTTGTTAGGTGACCTCTAGTCAAGTATGACTGATAAAAACCCTATGTACTACACAGCTGAACCTTGTCCTATCCTGTGCTTTCCTGTTATCACTGACACACTTGATAGTCCATGGCTGCAGTCTTTGTGTCAATGATCTCCTTGAGGGTCATTTTCTCTTTTGCTGACCTTTCACCTTTCCAAGCATGATGTCCCTTTCCAAAGAATAGCCTCTCCTAGCAGCATGCCCAAAGTATGTGAGATGAAGCTTTGACATTCTTGCCTCCAAGAAGCATTCTGGTTGCATGTTGTCCAAGTTATGTTTGTTTGTTCTTTTGGCAGTCCACGGGATATTCATAATTCTTCTTCAGCAGCACAACTCAAATGCATTGATTCTTTTCCTGTCATTTTGGAAGGACCATGGCCTGAATCAGACGTTCCATACTGACATCATTGTTCTTCAGTAATTTGGAGAGGTCCCTGACAGTGGGCTTGCTCAGTACAATACATCTCCTGCTCTCCTGACTGTTGGGGTCAAGGGTGTTAATTGTGGATCCAAGAAAGATGAAATCTTGACGGTTTCAATCTTTTCTCCATCTATCATGATAATTGCTTATTGAATTTTTGTCTATATACTGGGATGAATCCATGTTGGAGGCTGTAGCCGCCTTCTTCTGTAGCAAGTGTTTCAAGTCCTCTTCACTTTCAGCCAACAGAGTTGTATCATCTACAGTAAGGCAGTTGATGAGTCTTCCTCTGATCTTAATGCCACATTTCTCTTCATAGAGTCCAGCTTCTTAATCATTTGCTCAGCATACAGATTGAATAGGTATGGAGAAAGGATAGAACTCTGAAGCACGCCTTTCCTGATTTTAAACCACAACGTGCTCCTCTTTTCTGTTTGGACAACAGTTTTTTTTATCTAGGTATAGGTTTTCATAGTTGTTGTGTGCTCTTGAGTTGGGACTGATCTATAGCTGACCTTCCAACAGGTTTTCAGAGGCAGTGAATCACACAGGAGGAGACTGCCCCATCCTTCTGCAGAGCAGCTGATGGATTCAAACCACATGCTTTTGGGATCTCCATGCAGCTTCTTACCACTAGGCTACTAAAGCTGTATATGAGCATAATTTAGTTTTGGGGAATTGTCATTGTTTTCAATGTTAGCCATAGTTTGTAATGATCCACACAGTTAAATGCCTTTGCATAATCAATAAAACTCAAACATTTTCTGATATTCTCTGCTTTCAGCCAAGGTCCATCTGACATCAGTAGTGATATTCCTGGTGCCACTGCCTCTTTTAAATACAGCTTGAACTTCTGTCAGCTCTCTTGTCAGTGTATTTTCTAGCTATTTATAAATTATCTTTAGCAATATTTTGCTTGAGTGTGATACTGTTAATACTGTATAAAACAGTTATCAAAATTTCCAGTTTGTTGGATCACCTTTCTGGGTTATGGGAACAAATACAGATCTCTTCTAGTCGGTCAGGCACAGCTGGTGAGTATATCTTGAGCTGTATCTGTTATTTGAAACTTCTCAGTTAGTATCCTATTAATTCATGGGGCCATATTTTTGCCAGTGCCTTCAGTGCAACATGAACTTCTTCCTTCATTACCATTGGCTCTTGTTCATATGGTTGTTGTTGTTGTGTGCCGTCGAGTCACTTGCGACTCATAGCGACCCTATGTACAACAGCCCTAAACTCTGCTCTGTCCTGTGCCAATCGCACTGTCTCTCACACTCCCATCCCGATTATCCCAGTCACTGAATCAATCCACCTCATAGAGGGCCTTCCTCTCCTGCGCTGTCCCTCCACCCTCCCAAGCATGATGTCCTTCTCCAAGGACTGGTCTCTCCTTACAACGTGTCCAAAGTATGTTAGACGGAAGCCTCAGAATCCGTGCCTCCAAGGAGCCTCCCGGTTTAACCCTTTCCAGGATGAATCTGTTTGTTTTCCTAGCAGTCCATGGTACTCTCAATACTCTTCTCCAGCACCACAGCTCAAAGGCATCAATTCTCCTTTTGTCCTTCTTGGTCATTGTCGAACTCTCTGATGCATAACAAGTGATTGTGAAGACCATGGCCTGTATCAGACGCACCTCAGTCTCCAGAGAGACACCATTGCTCTTCAGTACTTTGGAGAGGTCCCTAACAGCAGACTTTCCCATGGCAATGCGCCTTTTAATTTCCTGACTACTGGTGCCAAGAGTGTTGACTGTGGAGCCAAGCAAACTAAAGCTGTGAATAATCTCAATCTCTTCACCATCCATCCTGATTTAGTTAAATTTATACATGTCAGTAGAGTAAATCTTTAAAACCCTTGAGATTATAGTGATATGTGATGATAGTAGAAATATTATACAATTTCCAAAATAGACTAAAGATCTTTGACATGGTGGTGTGTCTGATTTCCTTGGATGTCTAACTCTTGTATTATTAATATACTTTAATTTACTTATGTTTCATTTGTGTTTTTGCAGACTGTTCTCTCTGTATAAGGAAATTTCTGTCTTACAAAACTCAGTGTCCAACTTGTTGTGTGGTAAGTTTTTTTCTTTTGGTCATTTTGGTATACATATTTTTGCTTTGTGTATACCCAAAGGCTGTCTTAGGTGGTATAAACAGTTCAGTTGCTCAGGTGTTAAAAAGTGAAGGTTCCAGTTCTTCCAGAATCACCTTGGAAGAAAGGCCTGTGGTCTTCAGACAGCTCAGCCCTTGATGATCTTCTGGAGCACGGCTCCACTCTGATATGTGGGGTTGCCTGGAGTGGAGTCCAGATTGATTCTGTGGCAACTGATTTGGTGTGTTTAAGAAAGCCCATGGGAAGGTGCATAATTACTGAGTTATGCTCTAAAGGAAACCTTTATTTTCAGATGGACCTCCAAAATACACATAAGGAGAATTGAGATTTGTTCATTTTTTAATTAAGATTTCTGATATACTAAAATGCAAAGAGGCAGTCCTTTAGAGAGACATCGTGCTTGGGAGGGTGAAGGGACAGCACAGGAGAGGAAGACCCTCAATGAGATGGATTGACTCAGTGACTGGGGTAGTGGGGGTTGGTGTGTTGGAGATGGTGAACTTGGCTCAGCATAGAGCAGGGTTCAGAGTTCTTGTCCATAGGATCGCTATGAGTCACAGGTACCTCGACAGCACATAACAACAACAGCAACAACAGATGTGTTTTAGGAAATAATACCCAGTTGATTGAAGACCAGATGAGTTATGGGATGACATTAAAGAAATCATCCATGAAGAGAGAAGATGATCATTACAAAGACACAGGAGAAAGAAAAAACAGAAATGGATGTCAGAAGAGACTGAAAATTGCACCAGAGTGCCAAGCAGCCAAAACAAAAGGAGAACATACCTAAGTAAAAGAGCAGATTTCAAAGGGCGGCTCAAGAAGACAAAGAGAAGTATTATAATGGACTGTACAGAGAGCTACGATTGGAGAATATAAAGCTCTTCAAGAACTGAAAAACAAATTTAAGCCTCGAGTTTCAGTACTGGAAGATGCTATGGGTAATATGCTGAAAACCCAGGAAGTATCACAAGAAAATGGAGGGAATACATAGAGTATCTATACCAAAAAGAAGTGACACAGGAAAATTTCAAGAGGTACCCTTTAAGCAGGTGCTAATGGTAATGAAGTAGAGTTGAAGCTGCACTGAAGGTATTGGCAAAAAAATAAGGTCCCAGGAATCTATGGGATACCAGTTGACTTGTTTTAATTAAGATGCACTCATCAGTCTATGCCATGAAATTTAGAGGGCAGCTAATGGGCTGACTGATTGGAAGAGGTCCATATTTGTTCCCATTCCCAAGGACGGTGATCCAACAGAATGTAGAAACTATTGAACAATATCATTAATTATCACATACAAGCAAAATACTGCTCAAGATCTTTCAAAAAGGACTAGAACAGTCCAAAGATACGGAGCTGCCAGAAGTTCAAGCAGGATTTAGGATACCAGGAATATCATTGCTGATATTATATGGATCCTGGCTGAAAGTAAAGAATACCAGAAAAATGTCTATTTATGTTTTATTGACTGTGTAATGGGATTTGACTGTGTGGATCATAGAACAGGTTATGGCTAACATTGAGAAGAATGGGAATCTCAGAGCACTTAATTGTGCTTATGTGAAACCTATACTTAAACTAGGAGGCTGTTGTGTGAACACAGCAAAAGAACATGATGTGGTTTACAATTAAGAAGGGAATACGTCAGAGTTGTATTCTTTCTCTATACCTATTCAGTCTGTGTGCTAAGTAAATTATTTGAGAAGCTAGACTCTGAAGAAGAATTTGGTATCAAGACCAATGAAGAGGAGACTCATCAATATCCTGCATTTTGTAGATGACACAACCTTGCTTTCTGAAAGTGAGGAGGATTTGAAGCATTTGCTATGGAAGGTTAAACATTGTAGCTTTCAATATGGATCTCAATGTCAGTAAAACAAAAATTCTTAATACTTGACTAATAGGCAACATCATGATAGATTGAGAAAAGATTGAAACTGTCAACAATTTCATCATACTTGGATCTACTGTCAACACCCTGGATACCAGTAGTCAGGAAATCAGGAGAAGCATTGCACTGGGAAAGTCTGCAGCCAAAACTTCTTCCAAAGAGGTCAGTTTGACAACTAAATGACATCTTCATTCAAGCCATGGTCTTTGTGATCACTTGCTGTGCATATGAGAGCTGGGTAGTGAATAAGGATGACAGAAGAATTATTGATACCTTTGAGATATGGTGTTGAAGAAGAGTACTGAATATGCCATGGACTGCCAAAAGAACAAACAGATGTATCTTGGACAGGGTGCAGCAGAATCCCTCTTGGAGACAAAGATGATAAAACTTCGCCTAACATACTTCATGCATGTTATTAAAAGTGACTGTTCCTTGGAAAAGGACCTCATGCTTGGAAAGGCAGAGGGTTGACGAAGGAGAGGAAGACTCTCAAACCGGTGAATTGATACAGTGATGGGCTCTAGTGTGTCAGGAACTGTGAAGATGGCATAGTATAGGACACGGTTCATATCTCTTGTTAATAGGGTCACTATGGGTCACACTTGACTAAACAGCACCTAATAATGGTAACAAATGTTAATTTTAAAAAAAGGGGGGTGCTCTGATGACTCAATATTGAAAATTTGTGCTGCCAAACCAAAGGTAACAGTTTGAATCTACCAGCTACTTTGTGGGAGAACAATAGGCAGTCTCCTTCTGTGTGACATATTGGCCTCTGACAACTCCCTGGAGGATCAGCTGTGGGTCAACTCTATGGCACACACCACCACCACCACAGTTTTCTGTAATTTCTTAAGTGGAATTTGAGAGAAACTATAATTTTTTTAATTTGTAAAATAATGATATAAATATTTGTACAGAAGACAAAAATTTATGGTTATCAGATTTAACCTAGCTCATCTGGTCCCTTACCTTGTTTTCTTAAGGGCAAACACTATGAAATTTCTTGTGACAGCTTCTAAAGTATTTTTTTTACATATATAATAGGTAAGAAGGAAAATTGAACACAAGTGAGAATAAGTAAAATACAGTGAGATTAACCAGAAGGGACCCTGGACCTAGTTAAAGGCTTTGGTTCTGGTTTGATATAGTGTGGGAATCCCAAAACACTTGATTGCACTTGTGCGAAACTTATACGTGGACCAGGAAGCATTTCTCAGAACACAGCAAGAGAACATTGCATGGTTCAAAATCAGGAAAGGAGTACGTCAAGAATATGTTCTGTCTCCATACTTTTAATCTGTTTGCAGAACAGATCATTTGGGAGGCTGAGCTTTATGAGGAGGAATGTGACATCAGGATTGGAGGAAGACTCATTAACATGCTACGTTATGCAGATAATCCAACCTTCCTTGCTGAATCTGAGGAGGACCTGAAGTGCTTGCTGCAGAAGGTCAAGGACTGTAATCTTCAATATGGATTGACCCTGAACATCAAGAAGATAAAGATTCTTGCCCCTGGGCCAGTTGGCAGCACTGTGATAGATGGAGAAGAGATTGAGGTTGTTAGAAATTACAGCTTGCTTGGCTCCACAATCAACACTCTTGGCACCAGCAGTCAGGAAATGAAAAGATGAATTGCACTGGGAAAATCTGCTGTCAGGATAGAGACTGAGAAGTAATGATACAGTTTAGAAACTAAGGTGCACTTCATCCAGGCCATGGTCTTTGCAGTTACTTGCTATGCATCAGAGAGCTGGATACTGACTAGGGATGACAGAAGAAGAATTGATGCCTTTGAGTTGTAATGCTAGAGAAGAGTCTTGACCATACCATGGTCTGCCAAGAAAACAGCTAGGCCTGTCTTGGAGAGGGTGAAACCAAGTTTCTCCTTGGAGGCTAGGATTTTGAAGCTCTGTCTCACATCCTTTGGGCATGTGATCTTGGAGAGGGACATCATTCTTGGAAGGATGGAGGGACAGCACAGGAGAAGAAGATGCTGCATGAGATGGATTGAATACTGGAACTGGGGCAATGGGGATAGGTGTGTTGGAATCATTGAGACTGGCTCAGGACAGCGCAGGCTTCAGAGCTGTTATATATATATATCTCGTCACTATGAGTAGCAGGTGACAACAACATACATAGCCTCAGGGAATGCTGGTGGCGAGAAACTACACTGCAATCTTTTTTTTAAAATTATTATTAAATTTTAA